TTGGGATTTGATTTCCAAGCAGCGTGGGATGTATGTGTCAGGGCCAGTGCACAGTCCTGATGGCCAGGTCCAGAGGCAGGTGGCATTTTGTCATCTGTCCCTATGTCCTCGAAGCAGCCGGAGGAGGTCTAGGGGACAGAGCCAGTGATGCCCACTGAGATGTGGAAACTGAGGCCCAGTGAATGCTAAGTGCCACAGTCACAGAGTGCATCCTTAACCAAGTGGGACCCGGGTGTCCTGACTGCACCCCCAACCCTGCAAGCTGAGCTGAATCTTTGGGTTATAAATGGTTCTGGTGCTTGCAGTCTGCTAGTCTCTATTTCCAGGTGCACTTTCCCCAGCTCCAGCCTTCTGCTGCACTAGATAAGACAGAGCAGGAGAGAGAAGGCAGCAAGCGAGGCTTATGTAACCGGCCTCCTGGAAAATGGAGCAGCAGTCAGAGTGGAAGAAGATGTTCTCTCTCTGTCTCTGTCCTCTGCATCTGAGAGCTACAGTTTGAGGTGGGACACAGGGCCATGGTGCTCAATCTTTGAGAAAGAGACGTAGCTGGGCACAAGCCACTCTGGAGTTGGCATCTTCCTGACAGAGTGACTCAGCCTCAGTTTCCCCAGGAGTGAAATGGGGATGAGAGAGCCAGGGAGGAGGAGATGGGATGGCACATCCCACAGCACCTGGCACAAAGTGAGCCCCAGAACTGTTTACCCTGCCTCCTTGTGGCTGCCTGGCCTGACCCCAAATGGCCCTGCAGGATGGGAATGTGATCCTGGTCTGCAATGTGAATTTATAAGAAACTGAGCTGGGGAGCTATTTAGAGGCAGGTGATAAACCAGGAGCCACCCCTTCCTCCTGGTCATCACGACAGAGGGAAGGACTGCAGCGTCCAGACGCTGACTCAAAGAGTCTCAGTTTCACTTGGGGCTCTCAGCGTGTGCTGGTCTCACCTGTCAATAGCTGCTAAATTTGTCCAATCCCCACAGCACCCTGGCCTGGGACAGACCTAATTAGGCTAATTTCAGTTTCCTAAGGGAAAGCACAGAATCAGCCCATCCCTGTCTACTGTCTTCCTCCCATCCCACCCCTCCTTCTTCATCTCCTTCTAATTGAACAAGGAAGATGGTGGCAAGCGAGCCCCAGGGGGACTTGGGGAGGCTTCTGATTGCAAAAGTAGTGCTGTATGCATGTCTTGCAAGAGGAAGAATATTCTGGACCCCTTCAAAGGAACACTCCCCCAAAAGCCTACACAGCAACAGTGGATTTAAGTGCATTCACCCCATGTGCCAGGCCCTGTGCTAGGCACTTCTCACATATCTTCCCAGATGTCCACATCATACCATTGCTCTGTGTCTGAGGAGATGTGCTCAGTAGCCCCATTTTACAGACAAGGAAACTGAGGGTCCAAGATGAGCTCTGGCACAGATGGACATGCTGGAGATGGATTCCAACTCGATTGGATAGCTCGTGAGAGAAACTTGTGCCTAATCTTTGGGCTTCCCATGTCCTGTGTTTAGATCTGTGTCCTTAGTTTCCGAATTTGTATGGTTATTTCAAAGATCCAACTCAAGTCAGTCGTGCTGAGATCCAAGGAGGCGAAACAAGCATTTGAAAGCCACCCGCTCCGTGCCAGGATCTGTTTGTATTTTCTCAGCTGCTCTTCCATAGCTGTGCAGGCAGGCTTCATGTGCACTTCACTTTACAACTGAGAACCCACTTTACAAATGAGAATGCTGAGGCCCGGAGAGGCCCGTGGGTGACCATGGCTGCCTAGTCAGGTAGTGATGGCACAAGACTGAGACCTACTCTTGGGTTGCTGGCAGGTGGTAGGCAGGTGGCAGGTGGAGACAGGAAATGATGGAGAGTGATGGTGACAAATAGCAGCCCAGGAACAGCAGCGATGCTAACAAGATTACAGAGTCATCCTCTCTGTGCCGGGAAGGTGCCGGGTATGTTTTTGGACTTGGTTTGAAAGTGTCTTGAGGAATAGAAGTGTGTGGATTACAGCAGTTGCCAGAAGCTGAGTGTCTGCTTTACATCAGGCCTGTGATTGAGAGGTTTAGTGCTGGCCCCTGAGCAGCCCCAAGAAGTAGGTATTATCATGAGCTACATGGTGAGGAAACTGAGCCATGATGCGATGGAATATCTAATCAAAGATTACAGGAGTGAGAAATGACTTCAAAGATAGTTCCATTCAAAGGGAGTAGACTTCAAATCTATGTGAGACCTGGGGACATTCTTGGGAACAGACATCTCACAGAGGAGAAAACCCAAGACCAGGAAGGGTAAGGCGACTTGTCAGGGATGCCAGCAGGTGGCAGAACCCAGACCAAAATCCATCCTTCAGCACCTGGTTCCCCATCCAGAATCCTGTGTCATGTCTTCTGACCAAGACTTTACTGGTCTTTGTTTGTTTGGTCCTTTGTTTTTCTTGAAGGTGAGACCTGAGCATTTTAGAGGAGATCTTTTGCTGGGACAGCTGTTAGTTAATTGGCAGGTTCCTAAGAGTTTTGCCCTGAGGCTGACAGAAAGGGGACAAAGAGGTGGCCCCTGCCCTCAATTTCTCTGCAAAGGCCCTGAGCAAGGTTCTGCTAAAATTAGAATCCTGTGTCCCCTGCAAAGGGCCAGGCCACATGGTCATTGTGACATCCCAGCTGCTTCAAAGCAGATCCCAGGGTGGGCAGAGGGACTCATTTAGGGGCTCTAAAGAACCCCACAAGCCCCAAATATCTCCCATAGTCAAGCTCCAGAATGCCTGGCTTTCTATGGGAGTCCTCATCTTGGTCCCTTGTTCCCCTCACACCAGCTGCACCAGGTCCTGCCCAGTGTGCCCCAGAGGGACTTTGTCCTGAGGAGCAGCCTGAGAGGCCCAGTTCCAGGGAGAAAAGCACAGCTTGGCAACCCAGGACAAGGAAGGGCAACTCTGGTCAGTTTGCCAGATTAAATGGCAGAGTGGGGGCTGGACAGAGCTTGTTCGCACAGGAGGTGGGGCCAGAGCAGCCTCTCCGTGCTCACGGAGAGCTGTTCTCAAGGCCAAGGACAGGTGTGGCTCAGCCTCCCTCTTTCCACATGATCCTGACACCCGCCCTCTCCAGCCTCCCTTCCCCATCTGCCAAATAGGAATCATCCCACTTCCCTTCCAGGACCAGCTGAGGCCTACCTACAGTAAGTCAGCCCTTGCTGAAGCCCAAGGACTCAGGAGCCATTCACCCTTCCTCCCATCCATCCATTCACTTGGCACCTGCTAGGGGCCAGGAGGAGAGGGCTCAGTGGAGGGAAGGGTTGCCGGTCCCCCTAAATCTTGCAGTTTAGTGGGAGGGGCGAGTCTGACAAAAATAAGTAAGTACATAAATAAGATCATTTCAGAGCGTGCTAAGTGCCATGAAGTAAATAAAAAGGGGCTAATGTGACAGAACCACAGCAGTGGCGATATTTGAGCTGGGACATGTGTCACTCTATAGCTAGGTCAAAGTAGGTCAGAAACCTCTGGAGTAAGGAAGGGAGCCCAAGAGTATATGTAGCTTGAACCACATCTGCTGTTGCGACTATGGCCAAACCACTTAACTCTTGGAGTCTCAGTTTCCTCATCTGTTAAATGTAAACAAATGGAGTAGCTGTGAGAATTCAAACAGACAGTTATACAAAATGCTGCCCATGTAGACACTGAATAAATACTACCTACTAACTTCAGAGATGAGCAATACCAATAAGAGTTCTAGCAATTAAAGCCATCTCAGAAGAGCCACAGCCCCTTCAAGGTCCTGTAAGCTCACAGGGACCCATGGCTAAGAAAGCAAGTGCTTTGGTCCTGGCTTACGGGGGAATCCTCTGAGCCTCCCAGGTATTTTGTTATTTGGGGGTTCCATCCCACCCTTGTGGTTACTACTCAACCCAAGAGCCTGGGGCTGGGGGCGTTCCCTTGGGGTGGACCCTGGTTGTCCCCCAGCTTGAGTTCCTAGACCTCCACATCCAGGTCACCCACCTTTCCTGTCCCAGAGCAGCCTAGAGACAGGAGGGGCTGGTGTCTACATCCCAGGCCAAACCCCAGAAAGGCAAGGGCCCAGGACTGTCCCTTCCCTGCCAGGGCCATAGTCAGGCTATGTCCATCACATAGCCACTCTCAGTTGCTTTTTGTTTCTTGACTTTGAAAGTTTGAAACAATCTAAGACTTACACAGGCATTGTGGCAAGAGCTGGGAGTCTGCTACCCGCTTTCCCTGCTTCCCCTGATAGCATTTAATGCAACCATGAGGAAAAGCATGGAAGGGGATTGGTAGCTTTTACCTAGGTCTTCCATACAAGGGGTTCCGAGTACTTTCTGTGGCCTTTTTGTAGCCATTTCATACCTGGTTTTTCCTGTTTTTCCCCAGGAGTTCTTACTGCCCAACTCTCCCCTGGTGGGTGAAGGAACTAAAACTCAGAAAGACCCATTTTCCAACAAAAAAAGGCCGTGCTAGGCTTCAAGCCCCTGGTCTGCTTCCCCACCTCATAACACTGTGTTTTCTAGAGGTGCCGGGGACTTAACTAAGACCGCACACCCCTGCAGGTCTGGAATGTGAAATCTCAGTCAGCGTGGAGCCGGGTGGCAAACTCCTTGCCCTCTCTCATCTCCAGGAGAGACAAACAGCAGAGAAGTCTAGAAAAATTGCTGAGCCTGAGCCTCAGTTTCCTCCTCTAGAACAGACATAACAAGACATGACAGGATGATGGTTGAGTCAAATGAGACACACATAAGGTGTCTAGAATGGTGCCTGGTGAGGGTCATTAGTGACCAGTGCTGGGGTCATTATTGGTCCTATCCTTGATGTAAAGATATGGTAAACTCCATTTACTTACTCATTCATTCACTTGTTCACTTAACCCCCACTCACACGTTCCACCCCTCCAGGTTGGCCGCAGAAGGAGCAAGGACCATGAGAAAGCCCGGTACTGTGCCCTGCTGTGAGGCCCGGACAGTGTCCCTCCACTCTCCCTCTGTGACTCACTCACCTTTGTCCTTGCCTTTTGCAGAATTCTCCAGTCTGGTGGCTGAAAGCTAAGTGTGCTGATGGCCCCAGGCCCCACCTCTCTGCCCTGGATGCCCGTCTCAGCCCCTCTCACCGCCCTCCTTCATTTCTGTTCAGTTTGTTTGTGTTATTTTTTACTCCCCCTGTCCCCTGCAGCCCTCAAATGACACCATTCTTCTGGAAAATGCTGGAGAAACAATAAAGGCTGTACCAATCGAGCTCTGCCTGTTTGGGGGACCCAGGCCTGGGTTGGGGGTTGGCTTTCCAGATACCTCGGGGCAGGTAGGGGGGCTGTATTTAAACAGAGCTGCTGTGACAGAAGGGCTTTCCTCAGTGCCTCCTTGACGTTGTCACTGAGCACGGCACTCCACATGAGTTGCTCCTTCTCATCCCTGGAACCACCCACAAGGGTAGTGAAGGAACTCCTATTTTACAGATCCAGATAGTAAGTCTTGGAGCAGGGAAATAATGTGTCTAATCCCTCACAGCTCAGTGCCATTTCAATGCAAGTCTATTGGTGGACGCCCATTAAGAGTCCTCTTTTCACAAATGACAGAAACCCAGATCAAAGTAACCTGAGCAAAAGAGGAAGGATTAAAAGGCTTGACTGGCTTATGTGTTCAAACACTTGGCTTCAGGAATAGCTGGATCAAGGAACCCAAGCAATATCAACCAAACTATGTCCAAATGGCAAGGCTCAGTGCAAGGTGTACCTGTAGTAAGATCTGCAAGACAGAGTTACGCTTACCATCCATCCAAAGGCCCAGACTTTGTCCCATTAACAGCAGTAGCCAATGTTTATTAAGTGCTTGCTCTATGCTGAGTGCTTTCCAGGGTTCCATCAGTACAACAGCCCATGTAGTATGGGTCCGCCTTGTGTAGATGAGGAATCTAAGGCACAGGAATTTAAGGTCACACAGCATGCAAGTCATCTGCAGGGCCTGTGTCACAGTGGATGGGAGGAGGGATCAGGGATCATGCCCACCTACAGAAAAGGGGAGGGTGTCTGTGGAAATGAGACCTGGGGCCAGAAGCTGGGGGGCAAACACGGGGGCCCTGCAGGGCAGCCTTGGGAGAGTTCTCTGCAGAGATCCCTGGGTGGGAGGAGGCGCTGGGGTTCTTCTCCCTGGGCCACGCCCGGGGCTCCCCCCATCCGGTTTCCCTGAGCTCCTTGAGACAGAGGTGGACAGAGCACCTTTGGGGGTAGCCAGGCAGAGCACGCAGGCCCAGGTCCCAAGGTGGGGACCGGAACTAGGAACTGATCGGATGCCACAGGAAGCCCCAAAGGGCCCTAGGGCCTCAGCCTGCCTGGGAAATGAAAGCAGAAAAGCAGGTGGTGGGGGTGGGCGTGGCTTCACAGGGAACGGGCGTGGCCTAGTGATGGGGTGGGCCTAGCCTAGCAGTGGAAATATCCAAGAGCACGCAGGCAGGTGTGAGGCAGGCGTGTGGATACGTGCCCCGCCCACCTGTCAGGACCTGCTTAGACTCAGGTTTTCACGAGAGCCTGGGAGTGGGGAACAACTTCGGACACAAGAGACACCTGATGGGGTAGGGGGGAGGAAGAGAGTGGCCTGTTCTGGGCCCCTATGGGAGCAAGACGAGCCCTGGGTTCTGGAACCAGAGAACCAAAACCATCCAGGAGCCTAGCAGGGGACAGGCCTAGGGGACCACGGAGACAGCAGCCTCACCGGCTGGCCTGCCCTGGCTTGCGTGCCTCCTGTCTCACCCCACACAGTGTAGGTTCTGGGCGGCACAAGGAGGCATCAGCTCCCCTCCCAGGCTGCAAGGCTGGCGTCCCTTTGTCACCTGTGCCTCTGTTCACCGGCCCAGGACAGCACCAAGAGCTGCTGGGGGGAAGGGAGCTCCGGTAAGCCCTTCATTTCAGTTCCTCCTCTCACAAGAGTTGGTGACAGACATCTGAATATATAAAGAACTTTTAAAAATTAGACCCTCCCAAAATAAAGGAGTCAATCCAAAGTGTGTAACCAAAGTGAAAAGATGCTTCTCAGAAGAGGCATAAAAGACCAATACACTAAAGGAGCAGGGGAAGTGGGAGGGGCAGGGGAAAGGAAAGAAGGGAAAAGAAAAAATATGAGAAAAGGAAGAAAATGGAAACAAAATCTCTGCAAATAGGGAAGGGTGGAGGGGGTGAAGGGAGGGCAGGGGAAGGGGAAAAAAATAAGAACCAAGATGCTCATGTAATGGTACAAGATCCCAATGATGTATGTAAATGTATTTTATACCTAAAATGTACCAATAAACTTAATGAGGGAAAAAATAAATTGAAAAAAAAAGACCAATACATACATGAAAAGATGCTCAACATTGCCGGTTGTCAGAGAAATGCAGATTAAGAAAACACTGAGATTCCATCTTCAGAAAGAATGGTTATCATCAAGAAAGAAAATAATAACTAATGCTGGCAAGGATGTGGGGGGAAAGGAACCCTTCTACTCTGTTGGAGGGAATGTAAACTAGTGCAACCACCATGGAAATCAGTGCGGAGAGTCCTCAAAAACTAAAACTAGAAATTGCATTTGGCCCAGCTATTCCCCTTCTAAGCATCTTCCTGAAAGAGCCAAAGACATCATATTACAGTGATACATCCATACCCATGTTTATAGCAGCACAGTTTATAATAGCTAAATCTTGGTAATGGTCTATATGCCCATCGACAGATGAATGGATAAAGAAAATGTGGCATTTATACACAGTGGAGTACTACTCTGCCATAAAGGTAAACTTGAGGCATTCATAGGTAAATGGATAAAACCTGAGGCTATAATATTAAGTGAAAAAAGTCAGACACACAAACTTCAGTATTGCATGGTTTCTGAGATAGATAGATAGATAGATAGATAGATAGATAGACAGACAGATGGACAGACAGACAGATGGACCAAAATAGATGATAGATAAAGAAGTAGGGAAATCTTTTTCAAATGGATAGGTGACAAGAAATGGGAGGGTGGATGGAAAAAATAAGAATTGAAGGGGAAAAATGATGAAAATCGAGATTTTGCAAATGGGAATGTAAGGGAGATTAGAGATACACAAAAAACCCAGGGCAAAACACGGATGACAACTTCCTTTACAAAGCAGAGAAGACATAGCCTCTGTGTCACAGCAAACACCTGTGTCGGCACAGCATCAACGCTATCAAAACGCAGATGGTCCTGCAGACAAAGCCCGCCACGGAGCTACCAGCTCCCTTCTGTCCCAGCCACCTTGACTGTCCCTCCTCAACAAGCATCACCTGGCCTTCACGTCGTTCTTAATCAGCAAGAAGCAGCCAGAGCAACCACCACCGTGTCCCCCATCCTGTGGAAGTAGGATGATCAAGTCAGAGGGGGGATGTAGGGGAAGATGAGAAGGACATAAAACATCCAGGGCAAAACACTGATTACTAACGTTGTAAAATCATCACATGCTTCTCTGTGGCTGATGATTATAAGGTCATTGCGTGCTTATCGTGTACCAAGTGCTTGAAAAAAATCCACCGTACTGTATCCTTATGTATGCATTAATTACTCACACTGTATGCTGACTTTGTCCCCTCCCCAGAGACAATGGCTAAGACCTTGATTGACCTAGGCCACTCTGATCAACAAAACAGTTTGCCTTACAAGTATGGGCACATTTCACACTCACCGGGCATCCTGCTCGGGATCCCCCTATCTTGCAGCTCACTCTGCTGCTAAGATTGCTCTTCTTCAGCTTCTTCTGCACTAGCTACACTTTAAATAAACTTTTGCCTCACACTGTATCAGTCTTGACTCCCGCATTTCTCACTAAGAGCTCCACTTCTCCATTCTTCTCTGGAGTGAGGGCAAGGACCTGAAGAGAGGCAGAGGTCATTTTGGGCGACTCCTGTACCACCAGTAGACTCCCCACCCACTGGAGGCAACAGGAAGGGGACCAAGTGTTGGAAGGAGCAGGGAGGGAGGGCAAGGGCAGCAGATGAAAAATAAAAGAGAGAAAAGCAGAGTTATGATGTGTTATATACACAAACCAACTCCCCACAATAACTGTAATCATTATGTACTGCAAACATGTGCTAATTAAAAAACAGTTTGGTGACAGATGCTGTTACACTTGTTTTTACAGGCAAGAAAACCAGGACTCTTGGGGATCCATGGCCAGGGAGGCTGAGCTGGAGTTAAATGTGTGCTTAATGACAGGGAGCCCAGAGGCTTGGCCCCATCCTGTCCCTGCGCTGGGGGACAGGGAGGGGAGCTCAGCAGCATGGGTGGGGAGGTGTTGTGGCATCGGCGCCCACCATCCCCCATGCCCCCTCCTCCGACCTCCCAGACAGCTCCTCATGTGGCCCATCTCTGCACCCTGAATCCAGGCCCTATCATGCGAGAGCTGAGATTCAGTGGATCCAAGTGGCCTGGGTGTCAAATTCATAAAACGCCTTCAACGGGAACTTCATGTCTCTCCCCTCACCGTAACTCAGGTGAGACTTTCTTTCCCGTGACTTCCACCGTGCGCATGCGGCCTGGCTCCTCCCAGTCACTGAGAGGTGCCAGTGGAACCCACTCCGGAAGTCCCTGGACCACCACTCTGGGCTCCCAGTCTGTCTCCTGGCCTTCTCTGTTCTTCCCCAACCTTTCCAGAACGTACATCAGATCACTGTGCTCTGCTTGGAGCAGAACACGGTCTCTCCCCACCCAGCCCTCACCTTGGCCCTTGGCCCTCAGCCGGAACTATTCTGCTCTGCCTACGGGATTTCCTGCTAGATCCCAGGGCCTGGCACACAAGGTTTGTATGCAGACTGCCACAGAGGCCTTGGGTAGCCAATAACCTGCTCCAGGTGCCAGAGCACAGAGCACAGTAGGGTTTGGCCCACCCTTTCCACGATGCCTTGGGGGACCTGTAGCTCAGCAGGAAGGAGGGACATGGGCCACAGACCTTCTTGCTCTGCCGCTCCTCCAGAATCCCCCAGCCAGCTGCCCTTTCTCAACACCCTCTGCGCCCCTGGGTCCTTCCTTCAGAAGGAGAGAGTGCCTGCCCTTCCTGCTGGGCTAGACGAGCCTCCCAGGCTGTACCACTGCTGCCTGAGCCAGGCTGGGAGCCGGTGAAGGAGGGAGGGGTCTGGGAGGAGAAGCCCCAAATCCACCCCAGTGGCACAGCGATGAATGACACCTGGGTGCACCGTGAGCCTGAGCCGGGAGGCTGCAGGGCAGCGGCCGCAGGAGGCCCAGTGCGCAGAGCAATGGAGCAGAGTCTGACCAGGGAGGGACAGGAACAGCCGAGCTGGGACGCTCCCTTTTGGCCACAGGCTGGGAGACTATGACTGCTGGGCTGCAGCTTGGGGCTGGACGGAGCTGGCTTCCGAATCTGCCTCTTCCTCTTTTGAGCACCTACTATGGGCCAGGCACTTGGTACGACCACCTGCTACAGTCTGAATGCTTGTGTGCTCCAAAACTCTTAGGGTGAAATGGAATCAATGAGAGGGTACTCAGGGTAGGACCTTGGGAGGTGATTAGGTCTAAACACTCTGCCCTCATGAAAGGTGTGTGTGTCCGCATAGGCCAGGCACAGGGAAGTTACTTGTCCCCATTCAGCCTGTAAGGACACAGCAAGAAGCGCCATCTATGAAACAAAATTACCCTCACAGACACCAGATCTGCAGACATCTTGATCTTGGATTTCACAGCCTGGAGAATTGTGAGCAATAAATTTATGTTGCTTATGAATGTCTGCTGTTGTAAATAAATTTCTGCTGTTGTTTATTACCCAGTCTTTTAATCCATTCCATATCCACCCAAGAAAAAGACAATCTATTTTACCCGTGGGGAAAAAAAGCAAAAGGTCTAGTTGGACACGGTGGCCCATGCCTATAATCCTAGCATTCAGGAGGCTGAGGCAGGAGGATTGCCTGCAACTCTGAGGCCAGCCTGGGCTACATGGCAAAACTCTTTCAAACACAAACAAACAAAAAAGCCAAAAGAGGGGTGTTGGGAGCAATGCTACATAATTCTAGGGAAAAATCATTTGAGTAGGCCTAGTTCTCCTGCCTACAGGCCAGCAATAACACTCCAAGACATACTTCCATTTTGGCCTCAGGTCACAAGGGAGATCTCAATGATCCCATGATGCTGTAATCCTCCAGGATGAGACCACACCTGTGGGAGACGCCCTGGGAGGAACCAAATCTTCATCTGTGTAGTTCCTGGGAGGAACTAAATCTTCATCTGCATAGTTCCTCATTGTTCTTAGATTTCCGCCCCCCCACCCAGTCTTTTGTTACACCTTGTTCATCCCAATATGATACTGAAATCTACATTATTCATTTGTTACATTTGTTTCTCCCGATGCACTAAATAAAAGGTGCTGCAAGCTAGGGGTCTTTGTCTTTGCTGCCCAGAGCAGCACTGATCAGACCCAAAGCTCAGCTTCTTCTCAGTCTCATTTTTCTCCCTTTCCTGTAATTCGCCGTGTGCTGCCGTGGCTCGCAGGAGACTAGGACTTACTGCAGAGGTTCTGGTAACGTCCCCTTCCCCTGTTCCCTACAGAGGGGCCGGGGATTTAGCTCAGTAGTGCTATGCCTGCCTCGAAAGCACAAGGTCCTGAGTTCGATCTCCAGTACCACAAAAAAAAAAAAAAAAAAAAGAGGAGCCAATCTATTCATTCATGCAATTGTCAATCAAGAAGAGCACAAAGCAAAAAATAAATTACGGCAAAATCAGTTTTATCTGGGAAGAAGTTTGCAACGTGAGAAGCAGACAATCCCAATGCGGAAGCAGGTGCCCTGGGAAACTGTTTTAAAGACAGAACCAAGGGGAATTACGTCAGATATTTGGAAACATTACCCTTTGGCCACAGTGACTAATATCCAGGTGACCTCAGGCTGAGGATGAGCAGACATCCCTGCGGATGTGCATCTGCTGGACCCTGCAGCGGCCTCTGTGCGGGGCGGTGGTTGCGGCAGCATCTTTTGCGACAGTCACTCCCTTCCCTCTGAACCTTCTGCCCATGACAGATAGTTCCGAGTGTCTCCTGTGCCCGACTCAGCAAAGCGCCTTGGAGTCTTAGCTCATTTTGTCACGCTGGTGACATAGGGCCTTCCCAAGCCTCGTGTCTGCTGTTTCCCAAGGTGAGCTCCCCACTTCCAGCCCTGCTCCCCTGAAATAACAGCCCAGGAAGAGCCAAGTGTGTGAAGCTGATACCCAGGTTTACCTAGAAATCAGGAGGTGGCTCAGGGTGTGGCACAGAAGCCTGGTGCTCTCTGCCCGCCTGTGCCTGGCACTGTCCAGCCAGATGTGACGTGGGCAGGCTGGACCCCTGCTCTCCTCTGTGTCCACCCCTGTACCTCCAGGAGTGCCACACCAGGAGGAGGCGGGAGGTCTGCCTGTGCCTGGAGTTTGTGAGGGTTGGACCTGTGGCTCAAAATCAGCTGCCTCAGCTGTGCCGGCCAGGCCAGGAGGACCCTGGTGACGGCCTAGTGTGCAAGTGAGGAAACGGAGACCCCAGAACACACTTTCTGGACCCGAGTCTTTGCCCAGTGGAATCAGAATCAGAATGGAAACCAAAAGAAGTGGGGAGCTGGAGCTGGAGCCCATGTTTTCCTCCCTCGGCCTCTCCTGTACCATCCACAGGGTCCCAGAAAGCGTCTCTGGCCCCAGCAATGCTGCTACTCCTCCATTGGGCTTTTGCCGCCTTGCACCTGGACCACTACTCCTTCCCTGCCTGGCTCATTGCCACACGGGCTCAGGCTAACTTCAGGGAGCTCTTTTCATTCCCTCCCAACACCCAAGTTTAGTTGCCCATCTTTACCCGTGAGAATTTTTATTGAGCACCTACTGAGTGTCCAGCACAGTGGGATTGACAATAAATAAACCCAACAGGCTGCTCTTCTGAACCTTCCACTTGGGGTGGGGCCACTGCTTGGGGTTCTGTGCTTCTTTCAATCCCCACCCCACTGCCAGCTCACTGCTTCTCCACTCTTCTGTCTTCTCCAAGGCATGAAAGCATGTGCAAATACATCCCCGGTGAGGGCCCAGTCTCCTGAATATATGAATAATGCCTACAACTACCAAAAGGCCAGCAATCTGTATTAATCAAGATTCTCCAGACAGATGGAACCAACAGGTGTGTAGATGGATGGATGCAGGGGTAGAACCTAATGGCTGGACTCATGGTGTCTTGACACCATGATGGTGTGGAAGCCATACACACTCAGTAGAAACTATACTTCGAATTTTGAATTTTGGACTTTCCCTGGGATAAGGTTGGTCAGGAGGACAACTCAGCCCACGAGGCAGTGAGTGTCCTGTCATGAGAGGTGGGTAAATGGAACAGGAAGAACTTGTGCAAGGAACTCCTGCAACAGCGGGAGAGTCCACTTAGCACATCACTCCCAACCTTGAGATGCTCACAGATGCATGGTTTAGTTCAAGAATATTTTCCAAGGCCTCACGTGTTCATAGCCAGAGCTTTCGGAACATGACTGAATTGGCGGGGGGGGTGTGTGTGACATAGTTGACTTGTCAGAAGGTGGGGTCTGGCAGAAGAGGGGGGTCTCGGGTCACTGGGGGCATGACCTGGAGAACATATCTCCCTCCCAGGCTTGGCCTTTAGCTTTCTACTTCCTGGTCTCCATGGTGTGAGGTCACCATGATCATCATCTGCCATCTCTCCCACCATGTCCTTCCTGCCTTGGAGCCGGAAGACCACGGACAAAAAACATGAGCCAAAATAAAGCTCTCTTCCCTTAAGCTGTGGGTGTCTGATTTTATGTCTTAGTGATGAGAATGTGACTAAGACACAGGCCTTTCACCTCCTGAACCCTGCTGCCTTGATCTATCATTCACCAGATATTTATCAAGCACAGGTGTCTCGTGGATGGACCCCCAAGAAGGTGCCCCATTCTAAAGAGGCAAAGAAGCTTCTAGATGGTTTTTTATAGTCTCTCCTTCCCGGCTTGACCCAGTGTTCAGACCACCATCGAGGGATGGCTCTGAGGCGCTAAGGCTACTGGGGACTGAGAAGAGGAGTTTGTGTGTCCCTCTGGAGTGGCGCTCCCAGCTCTGGGGCTGACTCCCACCGTGCCCCTGCTCCCACTGGCCGCTGCTCCCTGTGGTGCCCCTGGGGGTCACCTGCATGACACATTTTTCAGGGCCAGGCTCTGGTGGCTGGAAAGGAAGCTGCAGGGAAGGGACAAGGTTGAAAAAAGTTACAAGACATCCACACACTCGTGTCCTTCAGAATCACCATTGTGAGCCTCCCGGAATAGCAGGGGAAATACGCATCTGTGATGTGCATGTTGATGTTCTCATAGGTGACTGTGTTCGTGTTGACTATTGCTTACAGCTGCTGCTCATCTCTACTCCCCCCCTTTCTAGCAGAACCCCCTGGGGTGCAGGGCAGCAGGAAAAGACCCTTCAAAAAACACTCCCCCAGCCAGGGGACAGCTCCAGTCCATGGGACATAAACCTCTCTCTGGGTGGGGCCTGCAGAGAAGCTTCCGGAGAAGCGAACCCTCTTAGCCTTTGGCTTGGCCTTCTTCCTCCAGCGTGACTAAGAGGTTGCCCCCTCCAGTGCCCAGACTGGAGCTGCTTCTTACAGACATGCAGACTAGAACCCAGCCATGCTGTGAGAAGGAAAGACAGCTGCCATGGCTGCTGGAAGCCTTCGTTCTGCCCTGGAAGCTTCTGGCTTTGAGAGCACATGTGTGACAGGAAGAAAATGGGCCCCTGTTTGGGAACTGGCTGTACTTAGACCACAAACCAGACATTCTGCACAGTGTGACAGCAAGCAAAGAAAATGAATAAAATGTAGTGCAATGGGCTGATTCGTGCACTGCCCCCCAAAGATATGCTCAGATTGTGAACTTGCCTATAAGAATAAGGATCCCTGAAGCAAAATTCTAGTACAGATCTTGAGGTTAGCCCCTCCTGGACTAGGGTGAGCCTTGAATCCAATGACAGATTCCCCATAAGAGGCAGAAAAGGAGAAGACCCTGGAAGATGGAGGGAGACAGAGGCAGAGATTGGGGGAAGGCCACCACAAGCTAAGGAGCTCCAGGACCTGCCCCCGGAGCCTTCAGAGGGAGCGAGGCTCCTGCATCGCCTGGATTTACTTCAGGTTTCTGCCCTCCAGAATTTAGAAAATAAATTTCTGTCACTTCCCATTTGTTACAGCAGCCCTAGGAAACAAATACTTGTGGGAAAAAGTGTCCTTGAAGCTGGGGCATCAGCATTGGGCACTCAGAGGATAAACAGGAGTTCTCTGGTTGAAGAAGAGTCGGAGAACCAGACAGACAGCAAATTAAAATGGCGACAGCCACAGTCGCTGAGCACGACGTTGCTGCACATTCGACCCCTCTCCCTCTCAGCAGATTGAGACTGAAGCAGGGAGGCTGGTGGCAGGGGCTTCGTGCCAGTGGCGCCAGGCCAGGAGGAAGCACCCGAGAGGAGGACCGCCCGACAGAGAGTAGGATCAGAGCACCCCAGTTGGGCCCCCTGAGTTCTGCACTGGGGAGCGGAAGGTGGTGTGAAGCGCGCCCCCTGCTGGTCTCTTTCCCTTCCTGCACCTGGGGCTCAGGCCCTTGCTGAGGGCCGGGTGCTGGGAGGCCCCACACCAGGACAGCGCTGCCCTTGGGGCTCCTCCCTAGTTCATCTGACACCAGAAGCCAAGCTAAGCGGTTCTGCCCTGTGGGGTCAGGCGTGCACAGCACCCTAGATGTGCATCGGGTGTAGGGACATAAAGGAGATCGCAGCTACCTCTCTGCATCCGGGAAACAGCCGCTGAGAGAGAGGCCAGCGAGCCTCGGAGACCTGTAGCCTTTCCAGATCGTTCTGGCGCCTTCTGCATTCACCGCGGCACCTGTGGTACCGATCTGGACCCGTGCCAGCAAGGAGCCTGCTCCTCTCTGGGACGGCTCTGGCTCCTCCAGGTCTCGGGCCACTTGTCACCCTCTCCTCTAACGCTCACATCTGTCAACTCTCAAGAACCGAGCAGAGGGCAATCATTTCAGCAGAGTGCTCCGGAGACAATTCTGGGATGGCTGAGAAACTTGCCCAGCGAGCCAGCGCCAGATGAGAAATTGCTACGCTTCAGCGGTTCTGCAAAATTCAATGCTTTTTGCTAGAGCCGAGGGTCAGTTTCTCGAAGATTTCTTGCATAATCATCACAAATCGCCACCTGGTCCAAATTGCCAGACAGATCATCACAGGTGATCTGGGCCAGCCCCTTCCTGCTTTGGGGAAGATCCTTCAAGATTGTAAACACTACAGAGAAATAGGCGCCCGATTCTTCTACACAATGAATGGTTTCATTTGGCACTTTGTTTCTATCTAACAGAATTGCTTTCATTTTTTGAATTTCCTGCAAGGAAAGCTGCCTGTCCTCAGTAGAGGAGAAGAGTACATTTACGCTGTCCATTTGTCTATTTGTTTATTCATTCATTCAACAACTGTGTGACCTAGAGTTGGAATAACAGGTAACATTTGCTCAGTATTTTCTGTGTCAAGTGCTCTCCTTGCATAATTTAATCTACATAGCTCACTGAGGTTGGCCCTATTACAGTCCCATTATACAGATAAGTAAGAAGAGGCTCTGCAAGGTTCATTAGCTCTTGTGGGGTCACCCTGCCAGTAACCAGGGGTCATGCTTGGAAAAGGAAGATTGGAACTCTAATCCCAGACTTGCTTATTACTAGTTAAGTGGCATCAGAACGTCATTTAACTCACCTTGCTGTGCCTCAGTTTCCTCTTTTGGAAAATGGACATGCTTGCAGTAGGAGCTAGAGAGGATGAGAGTCATCAGAGAGCCGAAGTGCTGGTGACTTTGGGGTAGCAGGTCCCACAATTCAGCATCTGCTCTGCATATCCCACAGCTGTTTTCCCTCAACACAGACCACATTTGGGCAGTTTTACAAAATCTTTCCCAGCAAGCCAGATGGGGATACCGGAGGTGGCCTAGAAACATGAATTTTATTTCATTCAGTCCCCAAACTCAGATCTGTGTAGCTGAGGTGTGTGAGTCAGGAGGCTCTCAGGTGTCTCAGTCTCACCAGTGCCTTTGTGAGCACACATGGCATCGTCAGGGCCACCCTGCCTGGCCACAGCTACAGAAGCTCAGAAACGTGCTTAGCCTCCCATAACCCCTTCCCCAAAAGCCATGCAGGAAAAGCCTTGACCTCCTCCCGGGGCAGCTGGCAGGGATTTCACAACCTGTTTGAAGGCTGCCAACTGAGGACTCCCCTACTTGGGTGCTGAGAACAAGCTTCAGGAATACGTAGGGGAGGGGATGGGGGCAAATGACCTCTGAATGGGGCTGCTCGTGATAGCAGGGACATCCCAGACCTTTGCCCAGGACTCTCCAGGTGCCAATACGCACCTTAGCCAACACGAGGCGTCAGTTTGCGCCCTCATAGTAACTCAGAGAGTGAGGGAGGCTGAGGTGATTGTTGTTCCCAAGCCCCGCTGTGGCACATGGCCTGCTGCTTGTCAGTCACAGCCTGGTTGTGCTCACCCAGGAGCCCCAGAGGGGAAGAAGGGCTGGGGACAGAGGTTGAGGGCATTGCCACTTCTGGAGCAGGGAGCAGAGCTACCCCCAGGGCATTGGAGAAAGACCAGCTGGGAAGCAGCGGATGGAGGAGCCTGTGACTTAACCATCACGTGCTCGCAGTAACTGCTCATAAAGGTCACTGCTGTTACTGGTATTGTGGAATGTAGGGGGTATATGGAGCAAGGGTTGTTTGAACTGAGTAAGACAGAGCAAAGTTTAACCAGGTTAAGAGGGGACAGCAGGGGCAAAGGCCCTCGGGCAGAATGGCCAGGGCAAGTTTGCAGGACCCAGGGAGCTACCCGGCCTGGGCACAGAAAGTGACTTGGGGGAAACAAGAGGCCCTGCTGGGTCACCAGGCCTGACAGTGCAATGGGGAAGGCAGACCAGAAGCCACTGGGGACACTTCAGAGAACATGTGGGAAGCTCTTGAAAATCACGCTCTCTGATGGAACAGGATGCAGTTATCAAAAAAGAATGAGGGATTTCTCAAAGAAGCAGAAATAGCAAATAAACATATGAAAAAATGTTCAACATCACTGGTCATTCAAGAGATGCAAATGAAAACAACGCTGAGATTCCACCTCAGTCCAGAAAGAATGGCTGCTATCAAGAAATCAACCAATAACAAATGCTGGCAGGACTGTGGGGAAAGAGGAACCCTGGTCCACTGCTGGTGGGAGTGTAGACTGGTGCAACCACTGTGGAAATCAGTATGGAGATACCTCAAAGAACTAGGACTGGAGGTCCCATTTGACCCAGTTATTCCCCTGCTGGATATCTTCCCAAAAGAATTAAAAGAATCATACCACAGTGATATATGTGCACCCATGTTCACAGCAGCACAATTTGTAATAGCTAAAACTTGGAAACAACCCAAATGCCCATCAACTGGAAACTGGATCAAGAAAATGTGGGGATTTTTAAATAAAATGGAGTACTACTCAGCTATAAAAAATGAGAAAATGGAGACATTTATTGCCAAATGGATCCATATTGAGGCAATACTCTTAAGTGAAATAAATAAGACACACGTGTAAATACTGACTAGTTTCTCTAGTGTGAGAAACTGAAAGTGTAATAAGGACTAAAAGGTATAATGGATAATGTGAAATAGGAAGAAAGGGGGCAAAGGGAAGTGGGAAGGGTAGGGGAAAGGAAAGAAGGGAATGGAATTA